GCCTCCACTCAGGCAGGAAGCTGCGATCAAAAATCTAGGACCATTTCAAAGAACTCACGGTAACTTCAGCTTCTTTGCAAAGATGACGGGCGGGTGTAAACGAGGAATAAAGATGAATTTAGACTGGAATGAAAGAGTGTGTATGAATCCTATAAAAACACAGATTTTCTATGCTTACTAAGATATTAGCATTTAGGGAAGATGAAGCATTTTAGGCCAACTCCCCCGTTAATTATGTTAACAGTAATATGGCAAAGAGAGCAGCGCTGTTCTTTCCCCAGTTTTCGCTGGGCTTCTGGACAAAAGAGTTGGAAAGTTTATGGATGGCCTGGAGAATTTGGCATTTCTCTACACAGATTACATAAAACTGGTAGGCAGAATGTCAGTTTCCAAGGCAACTGTATTTTTTTTTATTATTTTTTTTGTATGTGTGTCTTTGCTTTCATTCTCATGTCATTTCTCTGAGTGCACTTAGTTTTCATCATCAGCTGATGCCTCTGTGGGTTTCTAAGCTTTAGTAATGGTGGGTTAAGTTTCACATGGGAAAGTGTGTTTAACAAGCTGCGACTTTACAGAGAGATGATGGGGAAGGAGAAGGAGTTCAAGCAGCAAAGAGTTTTTGTATGAATGCAAAAGACTGTTGGATTAAATGAAAATGTTTGATAACATTTATTACTGTAATGTTTAGATATGTGTTCATCTTGTTTTTTGCGTCTAGACGATGTGAGTTGTAAACAGGCTCCAGTAGAATCTCATTATGCTCCCAAATAGTGCCGCGTAAACATTTACCTGCAAATGTCAATGTGTGAATTAAAAGGCTTTTAACTGAGACTTACACACTTACCCCAAAGTATCCACTGAATGATGATGTAAGTGTGATCTTCTGATACAGGGTGGTAGTATATTCACATTACTTTAGAGACAGATGGCTGTGTAGTGATTTTAACATTCATACTATTTGCACTGTATGGACGGTTTAGTTATATTTTCCAGTGCAGTGAAGTTCATATTCTCTGTGGCCCGCCCACACATTTTCACACCACAAGCTGCTTTGTCTCGTTCTAAACATTAAATTCAGCCTTTTTTTCCTCTCTCAAATGAAACTGGGACAAAGTGAATACATGAAGAATGTTTGTACTTTTAGAAGTATTCGAACAACTTGATTTACAGGTTTATTAAAAAAGTACTGTGTATATTAGTAAAGCCTGAGCACACATATTCCAATGGCTCGCCCCAAGGATGCTATTTTTAGCTGCATTGCACCAGTGAGATATATTAAAGGACGTTACTGCCAAATTTGAACCCACTTGGATACTAAATATAAAAGGTAACTCTGCTTGGAAATCAGACACATTCATAACTGTCTAGTCTCGACTCGTCTAAAAGAAAAGTCTTGATTTGTTCTTTTATAGCTGTTGAAATTCTTGATTTCTGCTTCTGTTCAAGAAAGTGCTTTGAGGTATCATTCCATGTTTGATGAGTCATATATCTCCCACATTCCTTCTTGCTGGGTGACGATCTTATGCAGTTTTTAATATTGTTGATACTTTTCTCAAGGCATAACCATTGACTGATGATCATTGGTAAGTAGGTGAGAGTCCTGAGATAAAGGGGCTTGGGTATAGAGCTGGACTGATATATCGATTGCACAGTCATACCTAGTACAAATAGAACAAAACACAGTAGACTTTAAAGTGGATTTTTTTTAAAAAGTGTAAGAAATGCGCAAGCAAAAAAGGAATGACTTAATGAATAAATAAAGGATTAATCGAATGATTATTGCACATATTATTATTATTATTGCCCCCCAAATAGCTGGAGGTAGCATCCCCGAGGGAGGTAGCCAATCAATGTTAGCACTGATTAGGGCTGTTGCCCTGCTGTAAAAGCTGTCCTTGAGTCTGTTCAGAAGTTCCTGACGACTGTAAGTAACTTCTGCTCAACATACAGTAGGAAAAAACACAAACACCCACACGTATACATATGGAAAATATTGAAAAAAACAAAGCACTGAACGTGAAAAGAAGTAAGCCGCTGCGTCGGTGTGCGCCGCCATCTTGTTCTGCTGGTGATGTATTAGCAGTGTTGGTCAAGTTACTTGAAAAAAGTAATCAGTAATTAATTACTGATTACTTCCCCAAAAAAGTAATCCCGTTACTTTACTGATTACTTATTTTCAAAAGTAATTAATTACTTAGTTACTTAGTTACTTAGTTACTTTTTAAAAACATGATTTAC